TATGAATGAAACCTATTTACTCGTTAGGTAGTATATTAAATACATTTCAACGTTTTCGGAGGCGGCGCATAATTAAAAATACTTCAGTAAACGTTTAATTTTGCGCCGCCTCCGAAAAGGTTGAAATGTATTTAATGTACTACCTAACGAGTAAATAGGTTTTATTCAGATCTGTTACGTAATTGTATGATTGAATGAAATAGAAATTACTTCATTAGGAAATAGAAATTATTTTATACTTTTTAGTGCATTTCGAAGTCGGTGTATTTTTTTTCTGAAAATTAGTTTATTTCACGCTTTTTATTGGAATGGGGAGAATTGTATGGGATACTGTGAGACAGTTCTTCTGGGCTTTTTTTTTGTCTGCGTAAATGCCATGAGCATAATTAAGTAAAAGACAATATTCGTTTTTCAATTTTTTTTGCAACAATAATCCTTTGCAACTAAAAAATGAAAAAATTGTTGGTAATGGTACCAATGGGGAGTCAGACTCTACAAGATGCGAAAGGCTTTTTTCCGATTGGATCACCCACCTAGGAAAAAACCGACGAACGTGCATAGAAAAAAAATCAGGGACACTTTCAGGGACAAGTATAAACTAATTACATCATGATTGAGGGTGCTTCATCCATTTGTTCTTTGTTAACTTTCTTTGTAAAAATTTACTGCACATGTGTGTTTCACGGTACATATTAGAAATCGCGTTTCCGACAGTTTCTTTAGAAAATTTAGATTTACAACTTTGTTTTTCACGAAGGCAGCTAGCAATTTGTACACTGGACTAACATTTGGCCTGCACGTTGCTAGCGCGTTCATGGCATGCAAGTACCAGAGCTGTTTTTGAGAGTCTTTTGTATTTTTTAGATTTATGATTTCTATGTCTAAGTTCTCTCGACGGTCTCAACAGCTAATTGCCAGTGCCATAAACGTGAATTTCCTGAGGGTCCGAGGACAGGGCCTAGGAGACATAAACCAGGTCCCCTTGTTGACAACCCAACGGAAATTCTGTCTTACGTCCGATTTCTCTTCACACCCCCACAAGGCCCACCGTACTCCGCACGGACCGCGCTAAGGGCGCACGGGGTAGGGTGGTGTCCTTTTTTAAGCATTAC